AAAAAAAAAAAAAATCATAAAATTAGCATAATCTCATAAACACAGAAAAACTCAAAAAAATATTTTATAGTCAGATATTTTGGATTTTACACCACCTGTAAATTATATATACATAGAATATTGCAGAACCGTAGCGAATACACGATATTTTCACTATTAATGCTGGTATAATCTTTATACACTGGCCCTTTATGATTTTAAATTATTGCATTGTTTAGCGTGGACTGAGACTGGACTCGCGCCCGCCCGCCCTACTCGCTGTCCGACTTGCCCTCCTTGGCCGTGGTCGAGTGGTTGTACAGGCCCTGTGCCATGAGGTGCACGGCCAGCGTGTTCTTGTTGCCCGTGGCCTTCTTGATCTTGGCGCGCTTGTTCTGGAACCAAATCTTGATCTGCGACTCGTTGAGGCTGAGCTCCTGCGCCAGGCTCTGGCGTCGCTGCTCCGTCAGGTACCTGTTGGTCTGGAACTCGGCCTTGAGCCTCTGCAGCTGCTCGGCCGTGAAGGCCGTGCGCGGCCTCTTGTCCTCTTTGTTGGGGTTCTTCTTCTTTGGTTTGCGAGACCTGGGACCTGGGCAGGCACGGTGGACAGAGAACAGGGTTAGGACGTCTCGGGGCCTGTCTGCCCCCTCAGTGAGCCAGAGGGACAAAGAGATGAGGGAGGAAAGTACCCAGTCCCAGAGGGACTTGGGGACCGGGCTCGGACCCACACAGCCTCCAGGACCCGTCCCCCCCCCACCCCCCACAAAGCGAGAAGATAGGCTGAAAAAAGTGTAAGTGTGAGGGAGTGAGTGGGGGTAAAGGACAGGCTTAGTGGAAGGGTCGCCAGGGGCGCTCGGCTGGCTCAGCCGGGGGTGCACGTGACTCTTGATCCCTGGGTCCTGAGTTCAACCCCATATGTGGCATAGAGTTTACTTAAAAACAAACAAACAAACAAAAAGGTCTCCAAGGAAAACTCCCGCAGGAAAGCAAAAATCCAAAACTTCCTAGCACGACCTTTTCTATCCCTTTCTGAGGTTCTGTCCAGGAGTGAGGACAGAGTGCAGGCAGGTGCCAAGAGAGGGGCCACGAAGAAAGGCTGGGGGAGGGGCAGTCAGAGCAGCAGGAAGAGGAGCCCAGGGGACAGTGACAGGATTCCCACGAGATGCCC